AGTTTATATTTTCGAATGAACACAGTGTTTCAGTAAGAGCTAAATTCCACTTTCAACAATGTATAGTCTAATTTTCAGTGCACACTGTTCCTTTAATTTTTGTAGAAGAATTATGAGAATCCTCTATATTAGTCCTTTTGTTAAATCATTTTGAGCCAACTCAGTAGCACCTACTTGAATATGACGTGGTACTTAAATAAGTAATCAGACAGTTTACAGAAAATAGACGGAACAAATAAACTCAAGAAAAATCTCAATAAATTCACTAAGGTTTTCAGATGCTACCACTTTTTCTGGACTGTTTTCATATTCAATTGCACTTTGGGGTTTTTGGATTGTTGCCCAGACTAAGAAAGCTATATGAGAAGACATCCCTTTTTTCTCGTCTAAGGTGTGAGGAGCAAAGTGTTCACTTCCAAAAAATTCATTTATAAAAATGGTATCGAAGCGGCCCTTGCTATTTTACTTCTATTTAAGCACCTGTTATAGCCAATCAATCTGTATTTATCTAAAAATAAGTAAACTTTACCAGAAATAAAGTTCTTCGTATTAAGGCGAGGTTCAGTTGACTTAGATATTTCCAAAAAAGTATACCCAAACTTTTAAATTCATATTTCTTTTCCATAATTTTCAAGACATTATATGATTGTCCTCCCTATACTTAAATGTAGGGCTAATGTTTGTATATTTGATCCCATAGTGAGACTGCTGGTAAGATAAAAAACAGCTGTCTAAACTAAATGATTGCTGAGCATTATGAGAGGGCCAGGGGAATTGACTTATTAATGCATTCTCATATGAGAGACCCTCAAAACAGGTACAAATTACTTCACTGACGATTACTTTACTTTCACTATTTGATGTGAAAAATGTGTCTGTCTATAAATGTAAAAACTGCCTGCACTGTGCATTGTTAAAGTTACTATTATGTTATAGGTTTAGTTTATAATAGTTCAAATAAAATGTGCTGGTATTTTTTTTTACCCTTTGCTGAAACATTACACTTAGTTCAACGAAACACCCAGCTCTTTATATGGCATACACCACATTCTAGCATGTTCGTGAGGGACTATTTTGTTGGTAGTCGTGCCAAAATTATATTTAACGATATAATGTGGTGATAATTAATACAAATAAAAACACTTAGTTGGTTATTAGATACTTTAATGTATATTTAGTTGACCGCACCTGTAACATTGTCGCTAACGAGTTGTGTGAATCGGTGGTAATGGGTCGGACTGTCGACAGTCTGCTCACACTGTACTGACAGATGACAGACAGCGCGAGCCCTCGGGAAACTGCTGAGTCACTTTTCCTCCCCCCTAAAAACGACGAGTTCGCTCTCGTTTTTTTCTTCTTCAAACTGTAAACTGGATTAAACTCGCTTTGCCTAGGAAGGACTGCATTTTGAGAAATACTTCGTTTTAATTAAAGTGTTATTTTAAAGCCTATTTAGTCAGGCAGGAGTGGGTTGGGGTCTTTGGGGAGGGGGCTATGACTGGGGGAGTGTCCGCTTGCTTAACTTACTCCACTAAAACTCTTTTGTAAAGAAATATAAAACAATTCCTTCCATGTATATGTTTGACCGTTTGTAAAAACGAGCTAAAGACTTTTTCAAACAGACTTGCCTCGATGTAGAAAGGTATAAATGCGCAGCGGAAGAAATAGAGCCACGTAAAGCTTTGTTTGTAATGCGACACAGCCTTTGTTTTAAACAGCAGCTCATTATTGCCCACTAAGCAGGAGGTTACACAACGGCTTCACTGTAGCCTACAGTAACACCAAAACCACTCAAAGGAGCGTTCTTTCTTAAAAAATATGAGAAGGAAGACAAGTATATTGCCCAACCATATATTAATAAAAACTCAAAAGTATCTCGGACAAAATAAAATAAAAATATAAAAAATATTTGACTGAATTCCTTACCTTCCGAAGAAGAAACATGCCCAACAGCGAAATGATGTTAAAATATTCCTCGATTTACACTAAATTATGAAAAGAGGAATGTATTTGAAGCCGGACTCTCATTCTGTGTCAGTGGAGGATTTGAAAGTGGCGCCAACCGCTCTGCTCCTCTGCTCCCCACACACCGTCACACACACAAAAAATAAATATAAATTCAAACGAGCGCGCAGCAATATTTTGCAAGTATCAAATTGTGCCTATGGACCAGCACGATCGATCCCCGTTGTTACTTTTGAATAATATCGCTCCTGTGATTTTTATTTATTTTTTATGTTAAATTAAAATAACCGTCACAGGCTTTTCAGGGCCGCGGTGCAGGACGGGAGATTGTGCAAGGCGGTTGTGTTTTGAATTTCTAACCGGCCTGAGAAGAGGAGGGCAGTGTCTCCCCCTGCAGGGGCTGTGTGTGTGTGTGTGTGTGTGTGTGTGTGTGTGTGTGTGTGTGTGTGTGTGTGTGTGGTGTGTGTGTGTGTGTGTGTGTGTGTGTGTGTGTGTGTGTGTGTGTGTGTGTGTGTGTGTGTGTGTGTGTGTGTGTGTGTGTGTGTGTGTGTGTGTGTTTGTTTGTGACTATCAATTCAAACGTTATACATATGCATACTTACCATTGAAGCATAGATTGTATGTATATATACATTTAACAAAAAGTACTTAAACTCTACTTGCTAACTTTGAGGGGTAGAGTTAGCTGTAAATAGCAGGCCTCTACTAGAAAGTATGACAGTTGACAAGAAAGCAGTATTACATTACATTATACATTATAGTATTACATTGTAGCTCCACTTTTTGTTTTTTTAAATATGACCAAACAGCCACATTTTAAATCAATATTGGTACAAAAGTATTCAAAGTCTGCATTTCCACTCTCGTTTTTGACACATTATAACTGGTTTCTGAATTTGCCACATCAGCAAAAGAAAAGATGACCTCACAGTTTCTTCAAACTCAAGTAGCTACTTGGGATTTTGTGACTGTGTTGAGCTGTGTTGTAGCTAACTACTTCTCTTAGCCTTACTGTATGAACTGAGAGTACATTACAAAATAAAATATGTTAACCACCTTGTGTTCATTTTAATTAAATAGAAAATAAATGCAAACAAATACATGATTGAAACATTGAAACATCTTGAATTAAAGCATACAACGTCTATTATGAACATTAATGTAACAAATCCAAACGTTTTCAATATTTAATTTAACTCAAGAAAAGGAAATGTCAAATTTCTTATAAAAAACAAAAAGGAAACTGTGTATTTTAATTGTTTAAGTAACAATCGAGTGGTAGAGAATAAGCATTTATTTATTAATGACGTTGGTTGTAGATTGTTTTGTTAGATCAGTAAGTTCTTATAAAGTGGCCTGGTAAATACCCTCTTTTACCAGCAGAGGGCACCAGAAACAAGAGTGCAAAATGAATAATGGTCAATCGGAGTTATATCCAAAATGAATATTATAAGCCACAGTAAGGGAAGGATATTCTTATTCGAATAACAGTGTTTGGATAATAAAGACACAATGCACAATCAGATTTACTCATTCAAGCAGACTTAACCCTTCATAACACAGGAAAAACTCAACATGTATTCAGAACTCAATGGTTTACACTGCATGCATATTTCATTATAAGACTTGCTCATTGATATGATATAATTGGTAAAGCAAGTGTATCTCTCACTGTATAGTCAAATCGAACTAAATGCTTAATTATATTGGAAGAGGTAAGAATTTGAGATCAAATTGTACCATACGGTCAGTATCTCCAGTGTTTCCTGCTTCATTTCATCTAGTGCCACCAAACAAGTAAACTGTCAATCTCTACAACACTTCAGTTAAAGTCAGGTCTAGATTTATTTAAAAGCATTATCACACAAAAGTGTATCATATTTACAGAAAAACAATATTAGAAAAGGTACTAACACTGTAAATTGCATTAATAGTTCATTTAGAGAATATAAGTGCATGTAGAATAAGATAGTGATACATAATAACAACAAGTTTTACAATGGTAAAGACAAAACAAAAAGGTATGGACTATGGAAGGAAAAGGCTCTGAATGCATGATAAATCATCCAGACAACTAATAGTAGACAGGTTTATATAAGATCTGAGATGCAGCTAGGTTTGTGGAACGGTATCGAATGTAAAGATGGATTTTAGCAGCAGTGTTTTTGAACAACTTTAAGGCTTTCTCCAGATATCAGAAAAAGTCTGGACAAGAGACAATTACAAAAAAACTTGAATGGACGAATCACAAATCAATTATTTCATTCATGAAAGCAAATGATAAATTATGTCGGTTGCAGAAGTGGTGAAATACGTACTAATTAGGTCACAGAAAATGTTGTTTAAATAAGTTTAAAGGATTAAGAATTAATTAGCATGTCATCATAACGAGTGGAAAGATGGGACAGCTGGGTATAACCAAGCTCACTGGCAGTCTGTATTTTAAGGAAAACCATGGTGTTGCACTCACTTGTGCGCAAAAATATCTTTATCTTAAAATACCGTTGAGGTACGGGTTCACTGAAATGGCAAGCGTTACTGTGAATTATGAGGTAAATGGGTCGCTTTTTCTCATACAGAATTAGTATCATTAGTGTAGAGTGAACCTCTACATTACATTTTGTTTTACAATCTCAAAGGTTCTCTAAATGAAGGGGAGGGTTAAAGGTGAAGGTAACTGCACCAACAGAATGGCAACAGAATACTCACAAAACACTTACATATGGAATGTCACACCACAACAACAGCTTGCCCAACACATTGCCATGACAGCATCTGAAACCAAACAACTTTCGACCACAACCATATTTGTAACTTCCTCAAAACTGCAAACCAACGTGCACACCCACTGTAAAATAGGAACTGGCAAGGCATGAAAAGGTGTGAACGTGTGTTTGAATGTCTCTCTCAAGCTCTACACTCTGTCAATTGCTGTGTACTTCATGCAACCCCCTGAATTCCATGCTGGAGAGACTTTCTTTAAGTGTGCACCAATCTTCCCATTTGACTGCTGTTTGCTCCTTGTCTCTCTCTTGTAACATAACCAGTAGAAACACTTTTCTCTTTAGACGTGGTTTGATTTCATATTGTGCAATACACTTTCTATGTTCTTCCCAATATAGTTTCTAAAATACAGATTACAGTCTATCACCCTTGCCTACATGCTGCATCTACACTGGGTAACGTCAAACCTGTAGCAGATCAGCATTTGGCGCATACAATTAAACATAGAAGGCATATTAGAATTCTTGCTTGGGTCTTCTTATAAAGTATATTATAAAAGTAAAAATCATCTACAGTGCATCTACAATTATTGATTTAATTCCCCATGAAAACACTCACTCAATTATATATCTGATTTTCGCTCTGTTTATGTATGATGGACTGTTGTGAAATTCTTTATTCTGCTTATTGTCAATTCTGTCTTCCAGCCTTCCCTCCTCTGTGTGCTCTCTTTTTCCCATCACCCTCAGGGGCAATAGGAGTCCACCATGATGATGAGTGTTGGTGTTGACCGCCGGGCAACAGTGACCTCCCCCCTTGTCTTTAGTAAGGAAGTAAAGGAGGGCGTTCAGCCATGCGTTGAATGAGGCCAAAGGCCTAGTGATCTTGTAGCACATGGAGACCATGGTCATGGTGTGGCAGGGGACTCCCTTGGTTACTTTCAGCAGGAGGAAGATGGTTCTAGTAACATGAAAAGGGAAGAAACACAGAGCAAAGAGGAGGGTAATGGTAATGATGGTCCTGATAGATTTCCGTCTGCGATTGGCATAAGGAGAGTGGGCACCAAGGAAAATTGAAGTCCCTTCACCTCTTCCAAATGTCCTCGACAGTCCATTGCTTCCTCTTTTTCCTCTGGCAACTGTTGAAAGGCTGCTTCTCTCTATCCCTCCATTTCCTCTCTCTCGCCGATCTCTGAAGGACGAAGGTTGTGAATGCAGAGTCCTAAATATGGTCAGAACAACGTGAGAGTAACACCAAGCAATTATGGAAAAAGGCAGAAAAAATCCCAGCAAATGGAGAATCATGCCATAGGGCACGTAATCAGGGAACTCCTTATCGATGGCGTCGTCCCAACAGTTCTGGTACTCCTCGATGACTCCTCCCATGTTACTATTGCTGGCATTACCATTTATGGATGACACTTCGTGGCTTGGGTTGTCAATACCAGTTGCATTGCCGCCAAGCCCTCCAAATCTTGTCACATGACCAGTCTGAGCAAATCGGAAGATAGGGCAGGTCAAGGCAAACACTATCACCCAAACTACGACACAAGTGGACTTGACAGCTTTCTTGGTCTCTAGTGTGATGACTTTCATTGGGTGGCAGATACCGAAGTACCTGTGGACAGATATACAAGTGAGGAAGAAGATGGAGCAGTACAGGTTAAAGTAGAAGAGAAAACGGACCAGGCGGCACATGAAGTCCCCAAAGACCCATCGGTCATGCATGACGTAACTAGCCACGAGGAATGGCAGTGACAGGCCATACATGAAGTCTGTGGAGGCCAGGTTCACCATGTAGATCAGGGACGCATTCCAACGCTTGGTCCGGCGGAAGGAACGGTAGAGGATGATAGAATTTAGGGAAATGCTGAAGAGGAATGTGAAAGAGTAACAAATGGGAAGGAAGATGTACTTGTAGGATTCGTCTATGCTGCAAGATGGAGGTGGGGTGGTGCTGGAGGAAGAGGAGGAGTTGAGTAAGTCATTGAGTACTGAGGTACTGATGTTGGGAGGATCTCCACTTCTGGATGGCATTGTGAGGAGTGAAGAGATTTTCATGGAAGGGAGAAGCTGATCAAGTCGGTGTCTGGTACACTTTGGGATCTGTCAATCCTCTCTGACATTATTATACTCTTTTGGTAGTTCTGTATGATCCTGAACAGCAGGTTTTGAGATGAATTCAGTTGGTCAATTCCATGGATACCTAGAGATAAAAACACAAATTAGTAATCCATCTGTACCGTTTTAGGATCTTAGATCATGAATAGTATTTATTTTCCAACTGAGACCCTACCGCCCTCCCCCCTTTTGAGTAAGGCCTTTGCGCAATCTGTTTGACCTCCTGCTGTACGCTGTTGATTCTTAGTGCTTGTTTGCCTTCCTGTGTACAAGGGTATGCTGCTGATTCAGTCTCTTCTCACCCCATTAACTCAGCAATAAGTAACCACACTTCCCCTAGATGTCTCCATGCACCCTTCTGTACATTGGTCCTGCTGTCACCCCCCTGACTATTTACTATAACTCATCAGTGCTGTCGTAGATGCTTCCTGTCTCAGTTTATGCATTTATTTCTGGGTTACTGTAATGAACTTTTTGCTGAGCTGACAACACAGGTGTTAAATAATCTGCGGTTTATTCAGAATGCTATAAAATCGTTGAATGGACTTGATCAAGTAATGGTGCCTTCAGTCATTATGGTATTCTTCACTAAACAAGTCTGCTAAAACTGTGCACTCTTTACAAAAGCAGACCAAAACATGTATTGACAATGATGCTTATCTTGTCTTAATAAAAGGCTATACTTTTTGTAACTTGTCTTGTAACATTTTTAACCTATTTTTCTATCATTTTAAGGCATATTTGGTGAACACCTGTTGTATGAATGATGTGCGACACATGATCAATAAGTCAATAAACTTGACTTTACAATTGTCAAACTTTCTAAGTAAACAGGATTCACTTAGGCTAAGCTCTCTTTCACCATCATTATTAGGATCAGTGCGCAGGCAGGTCGTGCAACTACGCCTGTTTGTGTAAGTGAGCCACCCGCATGTTATACTACCAATTCACCTCAGAGTTCAACTAAATAAGGGTAATGTGTCAACCAGTACCATGACATATTAACAGTACAACACCATACTTTAAGATGTGAAAGGTCTAAAGCCTCTACCCTAAACATGATCCCACAACCTGAGACAGGTAATGATTCTGAGCTAAAAAACAGTATTACATTACAGACCTGCTTCCTGGTGTGTAACTGTAAATGATTAATGAAATGGGCCCCTATTAATATTTTAGACAAGCATTTACCTCAGATTGTGTACCAGTTTAATAAACCAGGATCTTGAACTACAACATTTTTTAATGCATAGTTTTCAATGTTGGGATGTTTAGAAGACTTTATATAATTGCTTGAGTTGCACAATATATCAGTAGATATTAGGTTTGGCCTCCATTTTGATCACCGACAAAATCATACAATAATGCATCACATTCACATTAGAGAAAATGAATGGAAGTCAATAGGTGTTTTGTTTGTTCTAGCCAATTTACTAGTAACAAAGTAACAATAAATACATCAATTGCATAACAGCTAACCTTTTAGCAAATCATGTTTTTTTAGAAAGGTGAATACATCGTCTCCATGTCTCCAATGACTTCCATTCATTTCGATGTCAGATCTGCTTTGCACTGTAATGGATTGAACTATTTAAGCTTGTTTTAAGAGTCTGTTAATAGATTTATTTCACACAGAAATAAATGGATGCTTGAAATGGTGGTACCACAAATCACAATATTACATTTGTCAGGAATTTTCAAGGTCTTTAAAATCCTCTCTTTAATTGAGTATGAAAATATGTTGATCTCCTTGAGAAAGGTGTGAAGCTTAAATGTTTTATTTAAGTTGTATGTTCTACACAGAGGTTACATTTGAAAGGCGATCACATCCTGCTGCTATGGAAATGCACAAGTGTTGACCAAAAGGAAAGTTATTCAACTGTAGTGTTAAAAGGACGTTTTAAATACAAGTAAATACATTTCTATGATATTTTGGCCTGATATTAATGTTTTGATGAGTTCAAATCTCTGGGAATGGATGTTCTTCTTTTCTGGACTGCATGGCAAAATTAAAGAGGTTGTTTTCCAGGAGCAGCTAATAGCTTCTGGGAAATCCCTCTCCAGCCTAACGCATCATCTGCCTCTAAATCCATATATTTAATCTCATTAAGAAATGTTCAGAGGCAAGTTTTTAACGTAATTAAAGTTAGTAACAACTATACTAATCTTTCAAAATGGTTTGTTTTCTCAGGCCTAAAATAACCTGTGTCTCGAGAGATGCATTAGTGTTTGTGTAAAGGGACCTGCACCAAACTCATAAATACCTGCATCACTGCAATCTGCTGTTGGACAAAGAGCTTACCTCAGACGGCGATGACTTTCACTCCATATGGCTCCTTTCCCTGGGGACAATCGGAAAAAACAGGAAAGTACGAAAATATCCAAAAGATTTTTGACTGTATGTCAACGGCTTCAAAACACCTTTTCCTGGTTATTTCAAACAGCTGATGAGCAGTGGTCAGTGTGGCAGCGGTTTGGTGATCTGTGACCTTGACATTTGGACCTCTTCAGCTTTCACCTTTTTCTGCTGCTTCTCTGAACAGTACAGGCAGTTTCTATGGTAATGCAGTCCCTCCCCCTGTCCCTCACTGTGTGTCATCCAATTCTTCTTCCCCACTTCACCTTTGTGTGTGTGTGTGTGTGTGTGTGTGTGACGTGTGTGTGTGCATCCCTTCTCACCTGCTGAGCTGAGCTGGATGTTTTTCAGTCGCGGCTGATGACCCTGAGGACACAGATGAATGGGAATCACCAATGCATGTACATTTAGGTAGGCGTTCAGTATTCACACTCTGTATACTTATACTGATCTTCAATTATACACTCTTTGAATTTGTTGGAGTGACCAATAGCGACTCCATTACCCAAACTTTCCTCCCAAAAAAATAAAAATACACTGTAGCCCAATATATAAAAAAAATAATAATAATTCACAGCCAAAATCTATTTTCAATTATCATAATGAGAAAAAAACACAATACAAAATCTACTCACAGAGCCAGATGTAAGAATCTTAAAAATCTTTGATGATCAAAAACATTCTCTAATTGGATCCTTATTTCAACATAACACTGACATGTCTCAAAAGCAGAAACACACACAAGTACACACACAAAAAGTGGTTCCATCACTTCAGAGGAAATTCAACTTCACATACCTTACCCTCACTTAACCTTAAATGAAGTATTCCTATCAGAATGTAAGGATTTACATGATGGGGACCTGTCCCCAAAAAGGAACGTGTGTCCCCACAATGTGCCATACACAGACACACACACACCCAAGCAGATACACTTGCTCAGTGTAAAGAATCTGCTCACACACGTTGTTCTCTGAAACTGATGGACTAATACTTTATTTAAAAGGCGCAATCCATGATCAAATGTAAACAAAATAGTTGAACCAGTATCAAAATGAATAACACTATTAGATCGTGCAATCAATCAATGATTTCTCAATACACAGATTAATACATGACTGGGTGACAGGATTAATGTTTTTCTTTGAAAATAGAACAAGAATGTTAACAGGATCCTGTTTTTACACTTATTTTTTAGCAAATTGACATGCATACAAACAATGTAAACACTGAGTACAAGAATGAGACTGGAATTAAATAAATGAATTTCTGTTTCCAAAATAATGAAAGGGAGTGATGTCCACCCACATCTATTAAAGCCTGACACTACGCTGACTCAGCTGTTGGGGGCCAACAGATTCTAACTGCGTCATAGCCCTGAGAAACTTGAAATACCAGCCATGTGGTCCACAATATTGGTACTTTGTATAGAAGCAGAAATATGCTGCTGATATTAAAAAATTGCTGGTTTCTTGTGGGGTAAACATTAGCTGTCCTATAATTGTTCCCATGGCAAATTCAACATAATACATTTGTTTAAATTAAATAGCTTCTACTTTGTTAATATGTTTTGTTCTGTTAGGCTAAGGTGAATGTTCACTTGTATAGCTGCTGTGTGTACACAAAGTCTTTTTTATGGTAGTTTAACAGCGACAACAAAACAAAACAAAACATCAAGAACTTGTGCCAAAACCATCCCAAAACTAGTTGATTGGATTAAGAAAATATTAAAATATCTTACCTTAAAGACAAGCACTTAAAAATGTGCTTCATTTGATGTAAATTAGACCACATTTAGTTCTTTATTAAGTCCCCTTAAAAAGCCTACTCAAAGATTTAAAAACTTTCAGAAAAAAAAAATCCAGAAAACACGACAACACAAAATAAAGACATTGTTCGGTTTGCAGAGCTAGCAGCTTCTTAACAAAAGTCCCTTTTGAATTGCAGTTTTTAGAAAAACATTTATCGTTGATGAAAGAGCACCCTCATGTTACAACTCAGAGTCTGAATTTACACGTGATAGCAACTAGGAGAGTCAAATCGTATGTGTTCCTCTAAAATCAAAGCAAAAACTTTCGGGGGGTTCTTTTTTTTAAAACATTCTGCTAGCAAAAATCGGTGTCTGTGTGAAGACGTTACAAAACTGCATGGCCACATTCCTTGTCCACATGTATTGAGTTACTCTGTAAACAATTACAAAAATATCAATTAAGATCCAACGTCAAACACAACAGCCTCTCATCAAGATTTATCAGAGAGACTCCAATGCTGACCAGGTGCACAAAAGTTAAATTAAATAGAGCACAGTGTACAATTACGGCTCTGACTGGATGTGCATCTTTCATGTGCAAAATGTATTTAAATGTTTCCCTTTGTATTTGTCCCTCCACCCAGGAGGTGATGTTTTTAGCTGGATGTCAGGAAAACTAAAAGACACGATTTTTAAGAAACATGGTGGAAGGGTGTAGCAGGGGCCAAGGAAGAACCCACCCTCCAAACTGTTGTTTCACTTCTGCGAGATAGGGCTTCTGTGCTGCATTCAAGAAGTGTCGGAATAGTCAGACCGTATGCGGAGGAAGAGGAGAAGAAACTAGAACTTATTTTCTGACTCAGAGCAGGAAAAGCATATTTCCCAAGAAAAATTGCAGCTTGTTCCTTTAAGGGTGTTGTCCCATTCACTTTGATGTTGATGACCGTACCATATGGCTCTGACACGGTTACCATGACGACCATACAAAGCTGGTTCTGTTGCATGGGAGTTTTAAACCACTTCTGGTGTGTGAGGCATAAATCCCTTTATAAATTAAAAAAGGAGACAATAACATAAAAGCAAGTGAATGTCTTTCAGGGAGGGACACTCTTCACAGTGATTGGCTGGTCAGACCCACATGGGGTGGGGCTGACTGAGATGTTTGTGGAGCCACTGTGGCACCGTCTGGTTCTCAGCAATGTTCTCACACAAATGTTTGTGGGACATAAAGACTGGGAGTGATGGGGGGGTTCACAGTGACGTCAGATCCTGGACCTCCAGCAGCATGGCGTCCTGCTCCGTCCTCAGCTGGTCCCGCGCCTGCAGACGGCCCACCAGGTCTGAGCTCAGGTCTGACGGGACACATGCAGAATCATACGTTTAGAATGCAGTTTCATTAAAACACAGATTCAGAATCAGAATGGAGTTATTGCCAGGTACATACAGAAGGAATTAGCTTTGGTGTATGGTTGGGCAAACATAAACAACAAAAGGAAATAAGTGTCCACACAACCTCTTTTTAAAATCTGCACAACGCTCTCCACTTTGAATATAATATGTCAGATTTAAACAAATGTGCATAAGTATTCCGAGAGATGAATATGTACAGGACTCAGTTTAAAAAAAGAGGATGTTTGTGGGGTGGGTTAGTGTCAGTGTATACTGTGTGTGTGTGTGTGTGTGTATATATATATATATATATATATATATATATATATATATATATATGTGTGTGTGTGTGTGTGTGTGTGTGTGTGTGTATATATATATATATATATATATATATATATATGTGTGTGTGTGTGTGTGTGTGTGTGTATATATATATATATGTGTATGTGTATGTGTATGTGTATGTGTGTGTGTGTGTGTGTGTGTGTGTGTGTGTGTGTGTGTGTGTGTACCTTGTATGGTTTTGCTGAGAGACGTACAGAGAGCATTCAGGTCCTTTAGACTGAAGTTCTCTAAATCACTGCGCTCCACATGTCTCCTCTGGACCTCAGGAACACTACCAGCTGCAGCCTAAAGGGGGGGGGAGAGGAGAAAGGGATGAGAGGGGAGCGAGGGATCGGAATAGAGTGGGGGGAGTAGAGAAGAGGATGGAAGGAGATGTGGGGAAAGGGGAGGCAAAAAGAGATGAGGATGATAATAAAACAAGGATAAATGGAGAGGTCCAGGTGAGAATGAGAGGAAAGAGAACAGAAAGAGGAGACAGAGATGAGGAGGAAGGGAGGATGAATGGACAGAGGAGAGGAGGAGAGAGTAGAAAAGGTGAGGAGAGAGCAGAGGATGGAAGGAGAGAACAGGTAGAAGATGAGAAGGGAGGATCAAGGAAAGGATATCAAAAGAGAAAAGGAGACTATATAGAAGCAGAGAATGAAAAGAGAGGAGAGGATGAAAGGAGAGGAAGCAGGAGAGAAGAGGAGAACATTAAACAAGAGGATCATTGGAGAGGAATAGAGGAGAGGAGAACATTTGAGAAGGAGAGAGGGTGAAAGGAGCAGATGAGAAGAAAGGAGATAGAAGCAGGGGAAAGGAGGGAAGTAGAGCAAATGAGAGGAAAGGCAAACTATGTGAAGGTAAAGGAAAAGAGGTGCGAGAAGAAAGGGAGAGGAAATAAGGACAGAATGAAAGGCTAGAAGAGGGTCTCGGCTCTCACCAGGGTCTTGTGGTCCGTTCTCAGTCTGTCCCTCAGGTTCCTCAGAGTGTTCCGGAAGCCTCTGGACTTTGGTTTCTCCAGCTTGGCAGCAGGCTGAGGATTCTTCTGGACCTGCACCGTCCCTCTCTGGATCAGCAGGTGGGGGGGGGGGGGGCAACAGGTTACCAACCACAGGCTCAGCAGGTTCATCTAAACTGTGTTCTGTTTGAGGATCTGCCGTTAGTTACCCGTGTGCTGCTCTCCTTACTGATGTCGCTCTCCTTCTCCTCCTCCTCCTCCTCACTCTCACTGTCGTTGATGAAGCACAGCTGAAGGTTCATCTGGGTCTGCAGCCTGGAGGATCCACAGCAGATACAATCATGCCCCAGTAAAGAAACATAAGTGGGAGAAGTGTCAAATACAAAAACGATGGGGTTTCAAACGCAGCATACACAGCTACATCTGGTGGCCTGCAGACATTATTGCAGCCCTTCAAGACTGGAGCCAAAGCATTACAACACCGGCAGCCTAAGCATAGCTTTTTTTATAAATATAATTCATTTTTAAAGATGTTTTGCTGAGCATTATAATAAATGGAAAACTCTTTCACTGCACATTAAGATCGTTCAGTAGTGCATCAACCAAGAAAGAGAGAGGGAACACTTTGATCATGAAGCCCAATGGTACTGTTCAATTCTCTGGTTTACCAGAGAGGTGTGTGTGGCACAGTAGACCTCAGTGTTGATTGGCTATTGCTCGTAGTCTGCCACCAATCAGATGGTGCTGTGGGCGGGACAACAAGCGAGACTACAGAGTGGTGACTTACTACAGAAAGAGTAGCTCGTTCCGTTTCATTCAACTTTTTCAGTTGCCATTTGTCCTCACATAAAAAATGGATTACGATTAACTTAACATGCAGATTATTGTTGCCTAGAACAGGTAGATCAATAGAACATATCATGCTACCTTCACTGACTTTTATATATTTAAATGGGACTTTAGAGCGACTAATCTGCTCTGCAGTGGCGAGCCGTGACTTTATACCTAGGCCCTCTGACCCCCCCCCCTCGAAAAAAAAGAAGAGTTATTACGTCTCAACGTAGACTTCAGCGGAATATCAAAACAGCGGCCCGGGGTGCAAAACGCATCAATGACAGCGACCCTCTACCACACAAAACAACACCATTGATCTAAACACCTATCATGACAGGGCTCCCAGAGCCAAATAACAATTAAACATGAATTAACTCGGCACGGCGGCCTACATTGAAAATGACTTAGGCCTACCTTTGATGATCAAATCACTTAAACACTAAGTCCATCCTCCTGTCCTTTTGGATGAAGCACTTGATGGCGGGTCATGCAGCTGATCCTTTGCCACTCCAGTTTATCATTGTAACTCAATCTTAAAAATGACTCGGTTAATAATTTCTCAACGATGTCATCACTATCACTGAAGTGAGCCATCATGAACGAATTTATGCTAATTATAAATCTATCGATCATAAATCTATCGATTAGATTTATGATTCGAAAATAATAAAAGTAGGATAGACATGTGGATATTATCCGGCTGAACACAACGTGCATTTATCTAACAGGTTCGTTTTCCACAGACCTTATTTCCAGCTATTACATCCATGAGAAATCCCATTGCTTTTGTGTCGAGGGAACCCGAGCGCAGCTTACTTCCGGGTTTTCACTGCACCACTTTATACACGTGTATAAACCATAGGTATAAACCTCACAGCGGGCGGAACTTGTCATAAAGTCCGCGAAAAGAAAGCCCGCCCATTTAGAGGGAAGATATGATTGGTCAATTGTACTGTCATTTGACATTACTCTCATTGAGTTACTATAGCTAGGCCTCTGTGAATGTAGAGAGGGACCAACAAGCTCTCCCGTCTTCATATAACTCGCAGAGACGGAATTTAACCCTTCACATTCCAACAGAAACTGAACAGGCAGATTCGAAGGATTTATTTCTTTGGAAATGTTATTTTAAATACAATTAAATCAAGTTATTTTGGTAAAACTAATGAAAAATGTAACAACAACATTTTTTTTTTTTTTTTTTAAAATGCATTTTTTTTTAATGTTTTCAAGTATTATTTTTTGGAATATCTTAGGCCCTCACAGAGGGCCCTGACGGCTCGCCACTGCTGCTCTGTATTAAAGTTAATTGAGACACTCAAAATGAAAATGTATTCCAGTTCAACTAGATTTAGATTTCATCTTATGCTTTCTCAACTTCACGTACCAAAGCGCTACAGTTAGCTTTGGGGGTGTCAGGCTAAGAGGTGATACCATAGACTGTATATATAAGGGTGATACACACCAATCCCAAATGACATCACACACATGATGCAATGCTCATGAGTAATTGGCTGTGTGTGTGTGTGTGTGTGTGTGTGTGTGTGTGTGTGTGTGTGTGTGTGTGTGTACCTGGAGGTGAGAGCCAGCACGTGGCTGTTGCAGGCGTCGTCCCCGTCCTCCCAGCTCTCTGACCTCCTCCCTCTCTCCTCCGACCAGCTGACCGGAGCTCTGCCTCGCTCCAGAGAGACTCCACTCTGGAGACAGGAGAGTTACAGGGGGGGGGGGGGGGGGGGGGGCATTTGATTTCTTAGAATGACTGTTTAATAATAGCCATTCCAGGCATCATGTCCAATGAAAACAATTCTGGAAAAGGATTCAATAATAATTCAAGTCTGAGTGACTCATGTATTTAATTGATCATATACTTGTTAGACTTACTTATTATATATTTATATTTCTTGTTAACATTTAATTGAATTTTTCTTTTTTATAATAATTTTTTTAATCGTTTTCATATTAGTAAATGACATGTGTTCCTTTTGAACAGAGCTGAATTGGGGCAAAACGTTTTGATCATTGGAAAACATGTAATGTATTTAGAAGGCTTGATTCTGAATTTTGAAAAATAAAATGATGAACTCCAACAAAAAATAAGTATTTGAAAAGTTATTTCAGGTTGAGTATTATTTTGATTCAGATTAGCAAAATCATATTTCACTTTTATTTATATTGTGATGTTTGATTCCTCCTTTCTTTCTCGTTCAGATATTTCATTATCAAATTGTAATTCTTTTCCATTCCGATCTTTTTTTTTCTTTTCAGACTTATGGCCCTGATGTCGAGTGGGGGCAGGCTTTAAATGAGAGGGGCTTGGAATCTTGAGTGACAGGCCTTACATAGTCATGTTGCCTTCAGGAATTGTAGGAAATATTGCTCAACACTTTCGACACACAACTCTGACGGTAAAAGAGCAATAGAATGTGTCAATATTCTATCATTCTGGCCCAGATTTAGCTCCATACCTTTCTACAAACCCTCATGGTAATAAGCCTGATTCTGATCCAGAGTTTCGCCTGCAAAAACGATCTTAAGTAGGAGAAACTCTCATAACAACAGGCTGCATCAGTCCTAACTAGAACCAGGAGAGTTCTATGACCCTCAATAAAAGTGGGAGTTCCCAGCACTAAACCCCCCCCTCTCCCAGATAACACCCGCTGACCTTTGCCCTCTTCTCCTTATTCTCTTCCTCCTGCTTCTCCAGCTCAGCGATGCGCAGGCTCAGTGCCTCCCAGTGCATGATGGGAAGGCCCAGGTTGTCCTCGCCGTAGCCTTCCTGCCACACCAGCGCCGCACACTCTGAATCCTCCTCCTCTTCCTCATTGTCGGCGTCTTCATCACTCCTCCGGTCGTCCTCCGCCTCGTTGCTCTCCTTCTCCTCCCCCTGCTGCCGCTGTCTCTCCTTCTCCCCCTCCATCTTTAAAGACAAGTATACGGGTTCAAGTCTTTACAGAGCACTCTTTCTATGAAACATGAGGCAGAATGCTAAGAGTGTTAAAAGATTGTAATGATGTAGATGTAGGAAAACAAGATGTTGCTATCTATCTACAATCAGGACTGCAGCTAGGGATGGGTAGTACTATCAGTATTGTTATCCAATACAAGATATTGTATTAGAATGTGCAATATGTTAAAATAAATGTTAAAGGATGCATTGCATCAAAGTGATGTCAGTTTTCTAGCTGTTCTATTATCTGCTTTTTACTTTTCATTCGATTCTTGTTTCTGTTGACTTTTATGAATAATAAAAAATGTTGTCAAAGTAACAATGGTCAACCCAAACAAAGTTCTTAGAATATCGATAATATTGTAACACATTTTGGTAGATTTGTTTTCTAATCCATATTGCCCAGCCCTAATGCTCATTCTGGGAATTTGGAGTTCTTAGCAATTAGCTGGAAGTCCTTACTGTCGGGCCAAGACAAATACCAATCCAAATGTCTCCAGCAGCTTTATTTCTGCCAGTGTGAAAACCGATTTCCCAAGATGTGACTATTTCCAGTCCAGATAGATGGATTTGGGATGATCCTTTTTATACGACCCATGGAATTTTTTTGTTGATGAAAACAAATAATAAAAGAAAGTAACAGCAATCTCAATGGATATAACTGATAAAACATTAGGTAGATCAGGTAGGATTGTAACACACTTTTCCATTTTGTGAAACTTTCAAGAGAGGATAACGTTTTATAACTGTGTTCTAAAATTCTTAATTAAGTGTTTTTTAAATGAGTCATACATTAGCATGGCTGCATATATATATATATATATATATATATATATATATATATATATATATATATATATATATAGGTTTCCTTCATCATAACAATGTAATTTTTACTTAACATTGCGATAAACTGCGATACTGCTCCTAAGGATTTTTTGAGTCAGTTGAAAGAGAGACTCAGTTACAACTTTTTTATACAACAGGCAACTTGCTGTATTTCAGTAGCATAGTTTACGCAGCAGAAAGGCACAAGTGAGCACACTTCTGTGTTCAACTATCATTGTATTACGTCATATCACGATATTGAAGATAATGCTCATGTCATATAATACAGAATATTAAAAGTAACAGTTACATAAAGCTCTGTCTCGTCAGATTTAAAAAGATGCATATTTCTATATAAACAGTTCATTATTTGAGTCCAAATTCAGACTCTACTTAGACTAATTCAGATAAAGATTTGATGTTGCTATACGTGTTTACACAACATTCAAATCTCTTAGCCTATAGGAAACGCATATTCTTAAGGTTGTGAAAGTTATGTATTGTATATCATTAGAAGCAGTGTTGGAAAAAGTACTCAGATCCTTTACTTAAGGAAAAGTACAAATACTATGATTTTAAAGTACTCCAAACCAAGCAAAAGTCCTGATTTCAAAATGTTACTCAAGTAGAAATACCAAAGTATTCGCTTCAAAATGTACAAAAAGTAATCATTCTGCACAATTAGCTATTTCTGAATAACATATAGTACAGTAGTATTATCAGCTAAATATACTTTAATTATCTAAAGTAAAAGTACTTGTTGCAGAATGGATATTTTCACAGTAAAATATTATTATGTTTAATATATTATCCTTTTTTTTAAACCTGTAAGAGCATTTTAGTATTATAGTTTGTCAATGTGGAGCAATTTAGATACTTGAAATACTGTGTATATTAGCAGTATAGTACTGCAATTTACCATATCGGCAAATCATGTGTTTTATATGTACAAAGTATCTGTGAGTGTTAAATAAATGTAGTAGGATAAAAAGTACAATATCTGCCTCTGAATGTCGTGGAGTAAAGGTATAAAGTAGTATTATTACATGGAAATACTCAAGATCCTCACAACTATACTTAAGTACAGTCCTTGAGTAAATGTACCAAGTTACTTTCCACCACTGAAGGTATTGCATTAGAAGCTAGTGTACTGTTACTGGTTTGAATCCAGTGGTGTAATGTAATGTGGTAAATGTACTCAAGTATGCTACTTTATACTTCTACTTCACTACAATTTGAAAGACAAGTAATACAACAATAATTTGACAAAATGTTCAACTTGTTACTTTAAAGATTCAGATTATTAGACAAAATGTAAATAAACTAATAAATATACCATGCTATATAGTTATAAGTAAAATAATAATAATAATACATTTTATTTCTATAGCGCTTTTCTTGAACCCAAAGACGCTAAAATACCCAGCAGTAGTATATAAATTAAATGAAAATTAGCTCTACTTTAACACATTATTGCTAAATTACTTGATAATCCAGTAATGTAATATATATGATTCTGAAATTAGGCACAATAAGTACTTTTGCAACGTTTGAGGTCGATTTTGATTGCAATACGTAAGTCAATTGTCTTAAGTTATTTTATGAATGCAGAACTTTTACTGGAAACAAAGTGTGGTACTTCTACTTTTACTGCAGTAAAGTATCGGAGTACTTTCTCCACCACTGCCTGTAGGGAACGCATATTCTAAAAGTAGTGTATCAATACTGACAGTTATGTATTGTATTGCATTGCAGTAGAAGCTGCTGTTAGAAAAACTAATTGTCTATCCAGTACGTTAAATTCAAACATGCATCCAGGAACATAACGGATACATATTAAAATGTTGTTCAGTTAGTGAAAAAAGTCACTCTTTCTTGGTGTGGTTGGACCACAGACTGTGTACAGGGTTGGACTCTCATGAGTTTCTAAACACTTAACGGTCGTGTCTAAGATCAACGTTAGACTAACCAGCGTGTTCCACGCCAGACATGAATGGGTAAAAAGTAACTTACCACAGAATATAAACACAGCTCAAGAGTTGTCTTTGTCAGAGAAGTAGAAGACAGTTTTGCCACATAACAGCCTGCTAGCTCCTTCAGCTCCTCCTTGTTATCTCCCCGTCCATTCCATCAGGAGCTCACTCCCTGCAGAAGAAGCTGGAAAATGTCTGAAAGGCGGCTCTCATCTCCCGCTCTCAGTCTGCCGACTCTCTCACACTCTCTCACACTGTGTCCCGGCGGTTAGGAGCTCTTTTTGCCTATTATCATGCAAGATATCCACCCATTCTTAGTCCAAACACACAAACAAAAGACACAAACTTGAGGAATTTCAGGAGGAAAAAGTTGGCATCTGGAAATTCGAGTCTTCCATTTCCTGTCAGTCCCTTCAAAATAAAAGTATGTTTGAAGGTTAGCTTACTTACTTCATCCAAAAGCAGCTAGCTAACCTCTGTCCAAGGCATGGTCCAAGGTTGGACAATATAAGCAGTGGTGGAAAAAGTGTTCAGATTCTTTACTTAAGTAAAAGTAGTACTAATACCACACTATAGAAATACTTAATTTCCAGTAAAAGTACTGCATCAAGGAGTGATACCTAAGTAAAATATTAAAGTACAATAAGGAAAATACTAAAAGTATTGGCAATAGAAGTACTAATTGCAGAAAAAAAAAATATATATTTTAATATTTTAACGCAAAAGTAGAAAAATATTCTGTGAACTATTTTTGAACAAATAACTTCTTAGCAACATTTCCGCCGATTAATGTATTGTTACCGCACTCGTGGTTTAAGTCACTGAAATATAATGTTTGATGGTTTATACCAAATAATCATATGGTAAAAGTGTTTTTATTGTGTCTCAAAATCTGAATTTATAATGTAATTAGTAAATGATCTGTAATTTGAACAACTTTTTTGTGTGGATATCTTAAAGGGGCCCTATTATGCTCATTATCAGGTTCATATCAGTATTTAGTGTTTCTACTGTGACATGTCTCCATGCTTTAATGTTCAAAAAGCTCTTTATTTTTCTCATAAAAATGCTGCAGCACCTCTTTTCACCCTCTGTCTGAAATCAGAGCCCAGTCTGCTCTGATTGGTTAGCTTGTCGGCTCTGTTGTGATTGGTCAATCGCTTAGAGAAGTCCCGCCCCTTAGCCTATCACGTACAATGAAGGCTTCTCAATTATCTAATTTCCCCTCCTCGACTCCTATCCTCGTGACTTAGTCCCGCACACACAGGAGATGCCAGGATGCGAGCGGAGGAGTCGAGGAGGGGAACCGAGGAGAGTGGAAGCATGCAGCAGGCGTTTAGAGAAATAAGAAATCTTCTCCTCTGAGCGGTCATTTTAAAGAGACGTCCATTAATGATGACAGGAGGCACAGCAGCACTTTGAATAGCCTTGTGTTGAAAAGTGCTATATAAATAAACTTGCCTTGCCTTGCCTTGATGGACAGATGTGTTCATGACGACTTACAGTTGCAAGGAAAAGTGAACCCTTTGGAATGACCTGGATTTCTGCATAAGTTGGTCGTAAAATGTGTTCTGATCTTCATCTAAGTCACAACAATAGACAAACACAGTCTGCTTAAAACGAATACCACACAAACAATGATATGTTTTCATGTTTTTATTGAACACACCATGTAAACATTCACAGTGCAGGGTGGAACAAGTATGTGAACCCCTAGGCTAAAGACTTCTTCAAGAGCTAATTGGAGTCAGGAGTCAGCCAACCTGGAGTCCAATCAATGAGACGTGATTGGAGGTGTTGGTTAAAGCTGCCCTGCCCTATAAAAAATACACACCAGTTTTGAATGTGCTATTCTTAAGAAGCATTGCCAGATGTGAACCATGCCTCGCACCAAAGAGCTCTCAGAAGACCTACGATGAAGAATTGTTGACTTGCATAAAGCTGGAAAGGGTTACAAAAGTATCTCTGAAAGCCTTGATGTTCATCAGTCCACGGTAAGACAAGTTGTCTATAAATGGAGAACGTTCAGCACTGTTGCTACTCACCCTAGGAGTGGCCGTCCTGTAAAGATGACTGCAAGAGCACAGCGCAGAATGCTCAATGAGGTGAAGAAGAATCCTAGAGTGTCAGCTAGAGACTTAAAGAAATCCCTGGCACATGCTAACATCTCTGTTGACGAATCTACGATACGTAAAACACTGAACAAGAATGGAGTTCATGGGAGGACACCACGGAGGAAGCCACTGCTGTCCAGAAAAAACATTGCTGCACGTTTGAAGTTTGCAAAAGAGCACCTGGATGTTCCACAGCACTACTGGCAACATATTCTGTGGACAGATGAAACCAACGTTGAGTTGTTTGGAAGGAACACACAACGCTATGTGTGGAGAATGCATTTACATACTTTTTCTTGCAACTGTATATATTTACTTTTAATTCATTCACAGTGCGGTATAATGAGACAATAACAGGCTACAGATTTCACACACATATATTTATATAAATATATACAATTTCAGAATCAAACAAGTATGAGAGCACTCTCATAATAACGTAACACAATCAGAGACTGGATATATCAGTATATTGTAGTGATCACTTATTAATACACTGGGTTACATAATTCAATCATGGAACTGCAGGTTGGGGGTATTGTTCCGCACGGACACTAATGCCTACTGTACCTCCGGGGTATATCCTGTGTCCTCCTTCCTTTCTCTTTCTCTTCTCTTCCCGGGCTCCGACCCGACAACATGTGCATTTCTGCTGCTCAATAAAGCCAGCTTTGTACCTTCATTACACCGCCTCCGACTCCCTATCTCTCGGCACTACAATATAATATATATCAGGATACAGCCGTTGTGTATTTTATTATGTGAAGCACTAAATGGTTTTAGAAAAATATCAACTCTTTGTTTGTAGATATCTACTAAACTACAGCATACAAATAAAGAGAGTAATGTAGGCCTGTTATACTGAGTGATATATATACACACTGCTCTGCTTTCTGCACGGACCTCACAGCTGTTCTCACTGGAAACATCTTTTTTTTCTTCTTCTCGGTGTCTGAGAGGAGATTCGACCAGCCAGTTAACCTCGTGTGGACAATCTCACAATTTCACCTACCTGTTTTTGACCATGGACAGGACGACCCTTTTGAGCTTTTCCCTGGTGCCTGAGAGGAGGTTCGATCATGTCTGGTCGGCCTCGTGTGGACCCTCTCGCTTTTTCACCACCTCGACGGCGGCTTCGGACGTCGCCCACGCTTTCATCGGCGCCTGGGTGGCGCGCTTCTGGACCCCGTCTCGCCTCGACTCTACGGTTTCGGACGTCGCCCATGCCTTCATTGGACCGTGGGTGGCACGCTACGGGACCCTGTCTGACCTCTGACCTCTTCCCTCGCCTCGCCTCGACTCTACGGTTTCGGATGTCGCCCATGCCTTCATCGGCCCATGGGTGGCGCGCTTCTGGACCCTGCCTAGCCTCTCCTCTTACCGCGGCTCACAGTTCGCCTCGACGGCGGCTTCGGGCGGCGCCCCGTCTGACCCCGTCTGACCCCGTCTGAGCCCCGTCTGGCCTCTCCCCTGTCCACGGCTCCCTCCTCCCGGGGATGCTGCTCCGGCCCCCCGGGGACACGGCTCCTTCCTCCCGAGGACTTCGTGCCCGCCGCCGCTGTGCCCTCGCCTACGGCCGGGCAGCGCTCCTTCCTGCTGGGGACCACCGGGATATTCACGCCCGTCCCCACGTCGCGGCTCAGCCAGCTTTCTCCGACTGGCGGGTGTGTTCTTCGTTCGCCTCAACGCCTACCGCGGCCCCCTTATGACGGCCCGTTCCGGCCCGCCCCCCACCCACGGTGGGGATTCCCTCGCCCTCGTTGGGCCCCTACCCTCTCCTGCGGCCCCGCCCTCCTCGGCTCCTGTGGTGCTTCCTCCCAGACGCAGGGATTGTGTCCATGGTTGAATTCTGGGGGGGGCTTGTGTAGTGATCACTGGTTGACATAATTCACCACGGAACTGTGGGGTAGGGGTATTGTTTCCGCACGGACATATGTGTTGCTGTATATATTGTGTGCTCTCCTTGATTCTTCCTCTTGTCTTCCCGGGCTGCGACCCGACAACATGTCCTTTGCTGATCCTGAATAAAGTCAACTTAGCACTTTCAATACACCGCCTCCGACTCCTATCTCTCGGCACTACAATATTTCCATAAATATATGTGTGTGTATATGTCCGCATCTGTAGCCTGTTATTGTCTCATTATACCACACTGTGAATGAATTAAAAGTAGATATATATAAGTCATGAACACATCTGTTCATCAGACAGAGGACTGTGCCTCCTGTCATCAGTAATGGACGTCTCTTTAAAATGACCGCTCAGAGGAAAGGATTTCTCATTTCTCTAAACGTCTGCTGCTTCCCCTCCTCTCTTCTCGGTTCCCCTCCTCGACTCCTCCGCTCGCATCTCCTGTGGGCGGGACTAAGACACGAGGATAGGAGTCTAGGAGGGGAAATTAGAGAATTGAGAAGCCCTCCTTGTGTTGGAGTGCTGGTGGCCATTATAATCACAATTGTAAATGTAGCGCAGTAAAGTACAAAGTTTGCTTCCAAAATGTAGTAGAGTAGAAGTATAAATTAGTATAACATTTCCCCTATGTGGGACAAAGGTATCTGATTCTGATACTGATTCTGAAAATGTAAATATTCAGGTAAATTACAAGTACCTCAAATGTGTACTGGTGGGAGGTGTGTGGCGCAGCGGATACAGGGGGTCACAGGTTCAAACCCCACTGCAATCAGCATGTCGTTGTGTCCCTGAGACACTTCACCCCAAATTACTCCTGTGGGATTGCCCACAGTATTGAGTATGTTAGTCGCTTTGGATAAAAGCGTCTAACAAGTAACATGTAATGTGTACTTAAGTGCAGATCTTGAGTAAATGTACCAAGTCTTCACTGAGACAGCACTTTTTTGTATTTAATAGAAGTGCCCGTTATTCTCCTGCCATGCTTTTATTTTTTCGCTCGCATTGTGTTTCCGGTTGGACCGGATGTCAGCTGTCAGCTTGACGCAGTGAGGAGGAGGTGGAGGTGAAGGTGTCCAGTTTCACCCGTTCCCATTATTCTGTACACATTCAAATGTGAGGAATGGACAGTTGGTGGTCTTCACGGCTCAGGTCTCTATGTAAACACTTGGTTAAATACTGTAAAGTGCGTCAATGTTGCAGCATTGTGCCTGAGAGACATATAAGAGAGGACATTTAGAAAATAAAGTGTTTTGTTCACCCCCCCAGCAAGTTCTTGCACGCAGGTAAATGCGACACACCTAGAACCCTTATATCATGACATCATTATGCAGGCCACACCGGTGCCCACCTGGTTGTATATTCTAAACACA